CAGTAGTATGAAACTTCAACTGCGTGAAATACACAGCAGTATGAAAATTCGGCTGCGTGAAACACACAAACTTCACGCATGCGTGGAGTGTATGGAGTGTACGGGAGTGATTCACGCAATGGTGCGAATAGTCACGGCCAATATTTTTTATTTAGCTTCACTTTGAGAATTACCAAATTTATTTGTCCGTTATAATTTAATTTTCTTCTCAATGTACTCGGAACATTCCCCTCTTTTTCAATAACTTAACTCAAGAGAAATTCACAATACAATATGTGAAATGAAACCCAGTACAATAGCTCCCTCGTTCATATTCAAAGAATGAATAGAATCCCAGAATCTCCATCTCTTACTGTAGATTTCAATTGAAAATTCGTGTAATTAAATTCTCATGCTTCGCTAGCTCTCGGATCACCCGGATTTTTAATTATCACAATGCATCAAATATCTCCTATGTTATCCAATATGAATCGAGCATAAAGGGTTTCATTTCGGCCCTGAACAGAACATGAAAGTCGAATTTTCAACTTGACGGCTTTCAGCCGCTTTCTCGATACTAAAACTTTTTTAATTACAACTTCGTGATGAGGTTTAATTTTTTTTCCACTCGTTCTCTTCAGTCTTTCTCATTATTTGGTGGCACTAAGGGTGGCGGAGGGGGGGGGGGGGAANAAGGGTGGCGGGGGGGGGGGGGGTGAAATAGCCCTTTGTGAGGCTCAAAATGTTGACTCGGAAACTTACTTTTGTTTCTCATCGTTGTCCCCTCGATAAACAGTAATTCCGTGGGGCCCAACGCCAATCATTGACACAGCATTTGACCCGAATTTACTGTGAAACATTTCCTGGCCGAATGTATCCAAATTGGAGACTTCTTTGAGGAGCCAGTACTCAGCTGTTGAAGCTTTCATACCCTAGAGTATATCAATACACATGAGATCATTGTCATTTAAAAATAGTAAAATAATTGATAATCTAAATTTTCAATTGATGATGAATTAAATATTTTATGATGTGGAACTGTAAATTTTTCATCTATTAAATAATACTGAATTTCAAATAATCGTCAATCTTCCTAACTAAATTACTGATCAACAAATAATTCGAAATTTGAATATTAAAATCGATGGTAATTATAATTTATGGATAATATTATTAATTAAAAAGCTTTTGATGGATCTTCATCAACTCCCCCACGACATAATCTCCCAAGACGTCTCATTATCGACACAATTAACGTTCAACTAGAGTTTAAAAACCATCGACTCACTTTGATCTCCTTGTGCTGCTGAATGATTCTATGCAGGAAGTCATTAGGTTTCGGATCACAGGGCTTATCAGGTTGTATCTGACAGCACTGGGAATAGAGGCCGTGGGGTGGTGACAGAGGATCGTAATCCCCAGCCTCAGCTTGGGCAACCAGAGCAACCAGACGCGCCACTGAACACCAATCTGGCACTTTGAGACGGCCCTCAACCAGTTCAAGACGCGAGTGCAGGTAGAATTGATGTCTGCGGGGAATTTTTCAAATGCATTTTTAGATATAGCAATTTTCATTTCTAGATGCTCGGGGCAGGGGGGGGGGGTCTGATAAATGTTAACCCGAGTCGAATGATTGGACCTGACAAGTTCTACTTAGGTCTTTCCGTTCAGTACTGCGAAAGTCGATTTTCCCCCCGAAAAAAGCCTAAATACGGCACTTTGGCTGCGGGTGAAAAAAAAAATTTTTTTATTTCTGCATTTCTGGGGCAAGTGAGGGGCGCAGTGGCATTAGGCGGGCCAGAAAATACAGAATCGACGTTCACCCGGCGGAAAAATTCGATTTTGGCGAAAGTCGACTTTCCCCCGGAAAAAATCTAAGATGTGACACTTTGGCCCGGGTGAAAAAAAAAAATTTATTTCGACATTTATGGTGCCTCCAAGGGTTTTATTGGCATTAGAGGGGCCAAAAAATACGGAATCAACCTTCACTTGGGAAAAAAAATCGATTTTGGCGAACGTTGAGTTATCCCGACGAATAAAAATGACTGAAAATTCATTGAGTCGAAATATCAATAATTCCTCTTCATAAAAACGTCACTTCGATTGAACTCTCGAGACGAATGAGATATTTCGTAATCATAAATAATCGTAAATAATTTACCTGGTGGCTTCCTGCAGCAACAGGTGAGGTGGTACCCAAAATTTCACCCTCAATGCAAATCTGAGAGGTGCAACACCACCTCCTCCACCGGTCTGTCGATCAATGGGATTTCTCAGATTGAGCCACAACTCCTCACCCTTGGCATTCTGATACTTCAATCCAAAATAATCGCACTCCTTGCTGATGCCCAAGCAGTTGCACGCCTGCGAAAGGCCAAACAATCCCAAGAATTTCATAAATAATTTACTCACAACCGCAGCAAACACGGCTTAATAATTTAATATACATTAATATACATGAAGTTGAGAATATTTCGGAGGGGGTATACCCCGGGGCTATAAACTAAAATAAACGTCAGATAGTTGAGGTGGAGAATGGAAAAGTTTGTACGCTGAAGTTTCGCGTTCATGTCTCTGCAAACCCCGGAGAAAAGCGCAAAGTCAAGTGCCAACTTTTGGTCTCCAGCGCTGGATTCCCCGGCCCCCCCCCCCCTTTTTTTCTTATTATTTTCCTGGAAAATTCCAGAAGAGCAAAGAAAGAGTTCCGTTCACTCCGTAACTTTGGATGGGGAGGGCTTCCTTTTCCTCAAACCACTCGATATCCGAACGGAAAAGTGGGAAAATCGTGGCGAATGGAAACTCTTATCTGATAACAAATGATTTCCACCCTTTTTTTCGATTTTTTTTTCCGAGGTGTTTGAGTTTTTTTTTATTTGCTCAGGTGGACTTCAATCCCCTGATACGTAATTGATTCAAGCCCTGGGGTAATACATTTTCAGTGTAATTGAGTGAGAGATTTCCAGAGATTAAGGTGCATCCCTAGGAAAAAGGTTTTTCTCACGACTGTCCCCATGTTTTTTGTAGATAATGTTTATAATATTCCGAAGTGAAACAAATTTTAAATATCTGTACTGCACATTTTACGAGACAATAAGTAATTAAATTAAATTAAATTTCGTGAAATCATTTCTTATTTGATTCAAACAATTCAGTGGCGAAGTGATAAAAGGAGACAAGTAAATTTTGACTATTGACCAGTTTTCAATCAATATCTCGGAATCTAAAGGAGATAGCGAAATTTTTGTTATAACCTTTTTTGTGGAGGCGATTGAGGGCTACAACAAATGTAGTTACGAAAATTTCGCTACCTCCCTTAGATTCCGAGATATTGATTGAAAACTGGTCAATAGTCAAAACTGATTTATCACCTTTTACCATTTCGCCACTGAATTATTGTTGCTTACATCAACAACAATGAGAACAGAAAAACTCAGCAACTCATGAGAGCGCAATGAATCAAGTGATTTAGAATTTTTTTCCGGAAATCCATACGGACTAACTTTTGGTGGTATAGTCTTGGGATGTAGCTTAAAGGGACGGAATGGATTTTAAAGCAGAGGTGAGAATTATTTTTTCATATCAGTCTCGTTGATAAATTCTATTGCGCACTATTCCACTCGGGACAAACGCAGAATGAATAATAAAATGACTGGGATATGCCGGATAGAATAACAAACACAGCTGTTAAAAAATGATTAAGAAAAAAAACCTGTGAATTATTGAACTCGTACNGGGGGGGGGGGGGGGGGGGGGGGGGGGGGGGGGGGGGGGGGGGGGGGGGGGGGGGGGGGGGGGGGGGGGGGGGGGATAAAACACACGTATCTGCTGCACAAGTACGTCGTTCAAATTAATGCCCGTGCGAAATACAGTATTTCATTCGAGTCCCAGGTTTAACCGGTCCCCCATTCGCTTCGCGAAAACCGGATCGCCAGGATGTAAACACGTTGAATCGTTTATTTTCCGAAATAGATTTTTTATCACCGTTTTTTCTCGCGCTAATGGGTAACGAATGCATGCGGACTCTTGGTGATTTTTTTTTTCCTTCTATCGTTGCATTTGTTTTTAATAAGTTGCATACAAAGCCTTCACACTGAAAAACTTGAGTGCAAGTTGTATTTTTGCAATCGTAATTAGTGTGTTTTTGCGCTAAAATTGCATTTTAGGAGAAAGCAAATGTTTGAGTTTCGTGGAAAAGTTTTATTGAGTCTCCAATATTCGCAGACCAAACAATACAATTCAACCGAGTCACGTCTTATTTCAATTTTGAAAACAAACCTCTGAAATGAACCCAAAATAATGAAATTTGCCTCAGCAAACCCCGCGATATTCAAGTCTCAATATTCTTCATTTAAGGATATCCAAGTACTTTGGCTATTTTTTCTCCAGTAAAATGTTTTTCTACTTTTGCAATCGAACATCAGAGCGTTCATTAGAACCCCATTTTTCCCTAGTTCCGAACATTTGACAATTATTCTATTATTTACACTTTCCAGGTCTGAATTTGGATCTCGATATTAAATCGTTAGAAAACATTTTAAAAATCTGAAAAAAATTAGAAAGTTTGTTTTCGGAGGAAGATTAATGTAATAATTTAACGATTGCGATTGTTGAAAATTACGTGCGTTTCCTATAAATAATCTATAAACAATCAATTGATCTCATTCAGAATTTTATTCTCATGCCTAAAGAAATAAGATTTCCGAAGGTTTAAACAATTTCAATTATTCATTTTTGAACAACCAATATTTAAAAAAATGATAATTCTGGGCAAAATGTTATTTAAATAACACTGAACATCAATGTTTTATTTTTATTTTGAATCGTTGAATTTATAGTGTGGTCTGCCCCAAATTGCGAAAAATACTTGAATATCCTTAAATCCTAAAATAACCACCATTGAAACAAAGAGCAAAGTTTGAAAATTTGACGAATGCATTAACGAGTTGAATAATTCAACTCCCCTCGGTGTACAAACCAGCCAATTACGTACGTTATTAACAGGCCAGAGTGGCCAGCATGTCCACCGAGTTGGAAAGAGGGATTAGTTACCCCGTTTCTCGCTTGAATTAAAGTTTCAGAGAACCACCAGGAGACAGTTACTGGCAGTGCACGAGGGCTGGTGCTGCCGCTGCTTTGACTAAGTTTACTCCATTTAATCCAGCAGGATATTACCCCGTCAAAGTAACGTATCCCCCCGAAATACTTGAGGAGCGATGGGCTCCTTGGTTCGGAAAGTACATGACTATTTATTAGGAGCGTCCGTTTGGCGCCACTCACGATCGTTTAAGCTGAGTTGTTTGGCCTCGACGAAGGTCGTGCCTTGTGTTTACCAAGAGAATTATTCGATTATAACATCGGATCGACTATCTGTCTATTGGTTCGCATGTATCAATCATCGAACTCGATATTATTTTCCATTCCCTCTGGTCTCGGTATTTTTTCAAATTATTTTTGGATTTGGCTTCGAGTCAGCCGATTGTTGTCAACATTAATTATTATTAATTTTTATTAGTAATTGCTCAGATGCGTAGAAGACGATTTCCTGATGTATTATCATCTTATCACTCTTATATTTTAATTATTGAAGTAATCGTCAATTTAAATACTACAATTTCTAATGATTTATTAATCAGTAATTTAGTTAGGAACATTGACGATTATTTGGATGATCGAAAATTCCTTATAAGAAATTTAGTATTATTTACTTAATAGACAATTTACAGTTCCATATTATTGAATATTTAATTCATCATCAATTGGAAATTTAGATTATCAATTATTTTACTATTTTTTAATTTCGATTAGTATATTTAAAATTTAATCAAGTAAGTCGGAAATTCTTTTAATATTGAAGAATCGGAAGATTCATGGGCATCACTGGTCTAGGAGAATTTAATTATTTTGAACTCATGTCGAAGATATTTTTTTAAACTTCAAAACGAGATGTGAGACGAGATTGAGACTGAGACGTTCTTTTAAAAGTTATTTAAAAGTTTGAATAAAATGTATAAATATTTTATTCGAAGAATTCCCCTTCTGCTTGAAAACAAACAATTCACAGCTCTGAATAATCAAACGTGCGAGACCACTATTCAAATTTCCCATGATTAACGCATTCAAAATGTAAATTTAGTGTTGATACCAAATTTCACGGACAATTACTCGTCAATAGACTGAAATTGCGCGACAATAATCACCCTTTTTCTCAGTTTTTGCTCACAATTTCATCACTCCCCCGGAAATGTGCGCATCGGAAGAGTTAATTGGCTGATAATACTGGAAATTATTCAGCTTCACTTCATTAGCATATCGTTTCGAAAAATTACGAATTCAATTAATTATCAACGTGATTATTAATGCCAACGGATTTTAGGGGAATTGAAAAATAAAATAAATGGGGGAGGGGTGGAGTCTCGGATATTCCAGAGGCAGAAATATCGCAACGGCAGCTTTATCGTTCATTTTTACTTCACATGTTTATTCAGCCTCTCCGGAAAAATTGTGGAGCCGCAATTATGCACGTGGCATTCAATCTCAAGCACCAGAGGTTTTCTCTGCGCAAATTAAAAAAAAAAATCACTGAGTACACAATTCATGAATATGAATTTATTGAAATGCTGGAAAACGGTGGAAAAAATCGAGGCGTAGAATTTCCGTTTTGAATGATGCACATGATCATTGATATTCAGATGTCAAAGTCATTGGACGCGGGTGCACGAAGAGAGTTCTGCATTCGTTTACATTTTTCTAGAAATAGTTCGAGCCGTTATTGCATTTTTATGGCCCTGGAGTGGGAAAACTCTTCTTTGTATTTAATTTTCGATGCATTCCGCTGCACAAATGAATTATGAAAACCCAATTTGGGGAGTCACGGGCTATTTTAATTTAAAATTCGTATGTGAAAGTTATGTTGCGGGGGAAGTGATGGCGGGCCAATAATTACGATTTTGGGGCCGTTGTGAAATTGGAATTCCCATTAGGATTCGCTCGTTTACATTGAAACTACTATTTCCAAGAGACAAGAGTTTGTTTTTTTTTTAATTTAGAAAATTACTTTTGAGATGAGAAGAAAAACTCTTCGAGTTTAGTTTAGTATTTGGAACAATTGCTGGAAAATTCTCAGATTGAATGAATAATTGTCGCAAAGATTCGTTGGATATTTGAAGTTCATTAATTTTTATTCATAATAAAAATTTTCTGGTAAATGTACATTGTGAAACAAATTTAGCTGAATTTTCCGGAAAACGACTTGGAATTCGATTTGGGGGGAAAACGTCAATGGAATTTGAAGTTTTTCTGAAAATTGAAGTAAAGTCAAGAAATTTCACAATTTATATGAATTTTCATCATCTTTTAAAATTCTT